CGACGTGATTGATAGTCAGAGATTGCTTGCTGGATCCTAGCCTCTCGATTCGAGGCCATTTACGCGTGATTAAAGGCGAATTGGTTGAGTGGTAGTTGGTTGATTGAGTTGGTAGAGAGGTGGTGGGGTGGTAGAACGCGTGGTGTAAAACAGGGTTGGTGCAAAACTTGGTGGTCAGACTTAACGGCAGACGCCCCGTCAAACTCCGGTCAACTACGAAGGCCAATCAACCTCACCTTCATTAGCCCTCCGAAGCGCTTTGATTGCAAGTCTGCGACGCAAAGATCCAGCTTCGTCCTGGTACGGAGTATTTAATGCTCAATGAAACCTTATACTAGGAGGCTCAAGGCCCGGACGCATTCTATAGAAGAGACGAAGAACGTACTATCTAGGTCGTCGTCGCCAATCACCGCAGGATTGGAATGCACAGACCCAGGTGGGAATATACGGAACGAATGGCGAATTGCCGTGGGGCAGACATAATACAACGACCATGGTACAAAATATTATATAAAGATGCGCCCCAATTGTTTTTTTTTTTTTAATGACAGACCTTTCAATCAGAGGAAAAAACCATTCAAGTGTTGGTCACCGAGTTCAGCTAAAGCTCAGGACCCCAATTCATTTTCATCATGAAGGTCTTGTTGACCGGCGGTAGCGGATTTCTCGCTGCGCATTGCTTAAATGAGTTACTCAAACGCGGGTATTTGGGATCGAAATCTGCTTTGGAAGTTGTCGAGTACTGACCTTTTTTTTATTTAGGCACGATGTGGTCGTCACTGTCCGATCTGATGAGAAGGGGCACTACCTGCAAGAATTGTTCAAGGGCAAGTCGGTCTCGTACACGATTGTCAAGGACATTGCGGTAGAAGGGGCCTTCGACGAGGCCGTCAAGGCCGACCCTCCATTTGAAGCCGTTGTGCACACTGCCAGTCCTTTCCATTTCAAAGTCACAGACAACAAGAAAGACTTGCTTGATCCCGCGATCGACGGGACGACAGGAATCCTGAACGCTATCCACAAGTCAGCAAAATCTGTCAAACATGTGGTGATCACGTCATCCTTCGCTGCCTTGTCGAATTACCGCAACCCGCCTGCTGTATACAACGAAGAGATCTGGAATGATATGACCATGGAAGAAGCTCTGGCGGCACCTGATCCACAGGCGGCTTACAGAGCGAGCAAAAAGTTCGCCGAAAAGGCCGCTTGGGACTTTGTGAAGACGGAGAATCCGAACTTCACTCTGACCTCCCTCAATCCACCCATGATATACGGACCAGTGCTTCATCAAGTCACATCATTGGAGGAACTGAACACTTCCAGCCTGCGGATATTGAATCTCTACCGTGGCACCCCGCGATCTGGACCAGTCGGGTCGCCTATTCATGTTGATGTTCGAGACTTGGCTCTGGCCCATGTGCTGGCCATTGAAAGACCTCAGGCTGCCAATCAGAGATTCTTTGTTGCCGCTCAGATGGCCACCGAGAAGCAGCTCCGGGAGGTTATGGAAGACGCCTTCCCAGAAATCAAAGGAAACCTCCGGGATGAGTTGGTCGACAAGCTTCCGCTATATGGTATCGACAACAAGAAATCCATCCAGGTCTTGGGCATCACATATCGGCCGCTCAAGGAGACAATCGTTGACGCGGTCGAGTCCTTGAAGGCACTCGGGGGATAGAGCTGGCTAGACAGGGATGATATAGACGAGATAGATTTCTTCTATGATCCCTTATCACAGGATCAACTCACCTTTAAGTTTCCCAATCCTTAAGACCTGCTTATCTTCCTCGGATGTCTATAATATCTCCATTGTAAACTTGGCCTTTTAGGGAGCTATTCTCGGGAGGATTCGGCGATTTCAGGAAACCTGAATGCTTCAATTTGCCGCGGCGCTTTTGACCTCCGCCACCTCAACATTTGTCACCCACTTCAACTAACCTATCTGCCCCCATTTGTGTTGGTATACGGCGTTGGGGTGAACGCCGCGGCGAAAATGTCTCTCGATGTGAGTGAGGATCTCACCTGGATAGCCTCGACGACGTCGGAGCCATCTGCTCTGGGAAGTTCCGAACAAAACAGCACCTGCGAAGCTTGTTATGGCAGAAAAGTCAGATGTGATAAGAACCTGTATGAGAGCACACGCGAAACCTGCTCACATTGCCGCGATGGAGGGAGAGCCTGTGTGTAAGGTCATGTCTTAAGATTCGAAGGCCTTTTCATTGACATTTGAGGAACAAGGCCGCATGTCAGGAAAAGCAGCGCCTGCGAGGCTTGTCATAGCAGAAAAGTTAGATGTGATAAGAACTTGCATGAGAGCACACGCGAAGCTTGCTCCAATTGCCGCGATGCGGGGAGAGCCTGTCTGTAAGGTCATTTCTCGAGATTTGGAGGACCTCTCATTGACGTTCGAGGGAAAAGACCGCATGTCAGGAAACGCAGACGCCAACAGTTGGATCACGGCGGAAGCCCCAATTCCATTGAACCCAAAAAGGCCAGACGTCCAGCAGAGGGCGAGAGGGCCTTGACTCCATCCCAGCAACCCAGCTACCTCGGTCGTGCCGACTATATATCCGCCCATGCTGAAATCGATGAGGACGACGCCACTCACTACCAGAGTCCCGGCCCCCGCGCGGGCTCGTGGCACAGCTTCGAGGTGAGGATGCGGCGCAACCTGTCCGTGCTCGAACTGCCCCAAGGGACGCTGCGACAGACCCTGTTGAGAAACTTCCTGCAAAGATGTCGTCCATGGATGCCACTGGTGAACGAATCAGACCTCGACAAGTTCGATGCAAAGAACAAAGACACGCTGCTCGTCACGTCCATGCTGGTGGCAGGAAGCATAGTCTCGTCCACACCACAGGCTGCAGAACAGGGACAGAAGTGCTATCAGCGAGCAAAAGTGCTCTTCTACACCAATGCCGAGCAAAACCACCTTCATGCCATTATGGCCACGATTTTCCTGCAGTGGCTGAATCCGTCCGGCCCAGAGCATGTGTCGATTGACAACAGCAGCTTCTGGCTCCGGATCAGCGTCGCTCTTGCACACCAGTTAGGCCTTCATCGTGAACCCGACCCACGAATGGGAGATGCCAAGTTAAGGCGGAGGATTTGGTGGGCACTGCTCGTAAGATGAGGATAATCCACCTAGTTCACTACCCGCCCACAAACTAACAATACAAAAGTCCAGGGACAATCAGATAGCCGCAAGCCATGGACGTCCGAGGGCTGTTAATGCAGAAGACTCAAACGTTCGACCGCTGCGCATGGATGACTTTGAAGGCGACGACGAGGACGCACTCCTGTTCATGCACTTTGTCCAGATAACTTCGATTCTAGGAGACATGACCGAGCATTACTGTCGCGGCACGCTCTCGGACCGCAAAAAGATCGATTTCGAAGACACCCTTCGCCGGTGGTTGAAAGCTGTGCCACCGAGCTTGCGACTCTACCATCTCGAGACGAAGAGATTGAACGACTACAACTTCAAGTCCCGGCAGCTTCACACGCTCTACTTCACCTCTCTGATAATCCTGTTCCGACATGAAAACAGAAACCAGCCTCCTTCGCCCGTCTCGTTGTTGGCCTCGTCCTTCATTTCCGGGATCTTCGAGGAGTACCTTACGTGGGAGGATATCTCGCATCTCCCAGTGACCTCGATATTCTACCTCATGGTCGCAGCTCTCCTTCAACTGTCTTATCAGCGATTTCCCTCGCTAGCCACACATCGGGCCGAAGAGATCGAAATCATCAGATCATCCTTGAATGAATTGAAGAAGAGGTTCCCGTCCGCCATCGGTGCTGAGAGAGTGGTCAACCAGATGATGAAGCATTCCACTACTCTGCCGGAAACGGTGCAGTCTACCCGGATAGCTCTTACGCCTGAGCAGGAAGAGTTCTTTTCACCCTTTGGTCCCGAGCTGTGTCGGAAATGGCGTCTAGTCTTCGAGAGTCCAGCAGCGGGTCCATTGGAGAGGATTGAGGATTTCGCCGGCGTTACCCAGTCTGATAATGGGGTGATCAATACGGGGCCGCCAACGAACCATCACCTGCAGGCGAGTACGGATCCGCCGCAAGAAGTGCAGGCCATTATCAGTGCCGAGTCGGCATGGAACAGCAGCACTCCATTCTCGTTCAGCATCGACGATCAAAATCTGTTCTCTGATCAACTGGGCCTCGACAGCGTCGGTCGCTGGTGGTGGGCTGATTGGATGCCTGAAGCAGACCTGGACTTCCTCTCTAGATCACTGTAACGGACGGGCTACATTTCCACAACAGAGGCACCCGTTTGTGACAACAAGTCCCCCAGGCAGACATCCCCATAAACAATAATATGATCGAAACAAAGCGGATTGGTCCCCTGCGCCAAAGGCAGGGCAACGGGATCAACAATCCACTGCTGCAAGGGTCTTTGATGTTGTAACGCTTCAACTCCCTGCTCACGAAGTTCTCAAGATAACAGCCGCCCGTGGATGAATGGGCCGTTGTCCTTCCCGCAGTTTCGCAGAACCGGACAATTGTCTACTATAATTGCCCTCTGCGAGGGTGAATAAAAGACATCATGGCTCAGAGGCGTCACTATCGGAGGCATTCACCTCCATATCATCATCATCATCATCCACATGCTGTCTCGCATATGGACTCTTCCTTCTCAACCTCATGCCAAACTTCTTTAGCACATAGAAAATGGCACCAGCAGTATCGCGAGGCATCCCAGTATTGTCACTGCCCAGTTGTATCCTTCATTCTCAAACAACTGCGTGCCAAACAGTGGAAACTCGGTACCCGCCATGTTTCTGATGAGTCCCACGCCGGCAAGCGCAGAGGCGGAGAAGACCATGTAGCTGTCCTCGATGTACATATACGGCATGAGGATCAAGGTGTAAAAGGACCATCCGAACATGACAGTAGCCAGCATGGGGACTATCTAGTGAATGCTGTATGTTGGCACAGAGGTCCAACAAAACCAGAAAAGGGAGATGGAGAACAGGATCGCGTCGAGTTTGGCCAGTCAAGGCGCGCTTCAGGGACATTCTTGAAGTGCTTTGTCATCTTTGCTAATGTCGGCGTCGTCACGATTTGGCTCTTGTGCACGCCGAGGGTGGGAAGAGATGGCTTTTTGGTAATGATGCACTTACCAGACATTTACGGTAGGACCCAGTGTTATGCCCGCAGCGAGTCCGAGGAAGCACAAGCGCACGCCAATAATTTTGAGCCATAGCCGTGCTTACCGAACACCAAGTTGAATGCATCGTTGGAGAGGAACGACAGTCCATAGAGGTAACCGTTGTAAAGAGCAGCGAAGATGGTGATTGCCTCTGTGGCCAGGAACCGGAAGGGGCAAGGCAGTGTAACACGAAACAACTGTGTCAAGGATTGACGCCTCATCTCCTCCGGCACGGCGACGTTGCTCGAAGGCTCTCGTCTCACCAACACGGAATATCTCGTCTCGTTCCGAAAGCCGACGAGGACGACAACCATCGTCACACACAGGCTGCCACGAATCCCCAACAGTGCCCAGAAGACGTCTCTCCATCCTCTTGTTTATACGACGAATGAGAGCAAAAATTACCAGGATGGCCAGCCAGACATGGCGGCCCAGAGGAACACGCTTATGGCCGGTCCCACCGGATGCCGCGACCATAGGTCCGCAATGGTGCCGCCGAAATTCGCTATCGTCACACTGACGCAGAGCCCCGAGAGAAAGCAAAGGACGAGGAAGCCGCCGAGGTCATCAACCAACGCCGTACCCGAAAGAAATAAGAATGTCCCGTACAGCAGGACATAGAGAGGCGTCCGTCCATAATTCTCGGACAAGGGCGCCAAACTCATTGGCGCAAACGCCAGCCCTAACACATACAGCGAGAGGCCCAAGACACCGATCTCGGTGCTGACATGGAAGCACTTGATGAACTTCTCGCAGACGGGGGAATAGCTAGGAGCACCCCTCGAGACGGTCAAGTCGATGAGAGTGATGCTGGCGACGATGGTCCATTTTCGCCAGACAGCCCAGTTCCGCGGGTCGGCCGGGTCGCCAGGTGAGAAGGTGACGACTGTCTTTGACGTTGATTGCACTTGCGAGGCTGTGTGTAGCTGGCCCGTACTCTGTGCTGGAGGAGAAACCCTCAGTCCAAAAGAAAGAATAAAACAACAACATTTGGTGACATTTATCAGCTACGAACGTATGAATAATCACAGAGATGTAACACAGGAGATCAAAAGTTGAATATTTCATCATTGAACTGCCTCGCCGCTGCCTCGTGTCGCGATTCGTGTGATGCCCTGTGGCCTTTCGCGATCAAATCGGCGAATTTGAAATTTTGGCTGACCCCAAACGGCGGTATACACCTTGCGTCACATTAATCCGGACACCGCACAGATTGATTGTGCTGAGGATCGATATGTCATTCTTCCCAGGGACAAAGGAGACAGGCACTGTTGAACCAATCTAGGGCCATAATTAATTGATTGATTGATTGAGTGGGAAGAGAATTTGTATAAGCTGTGATAGATCAGGCTTAAATACCAGCAGCCTCGCAGCCTAGCAAGTGCCCAGTGCCAAGAGTCGACGGTCTTGCCTTAATTAGACTAGGCGTCTTCCTCTCTCCCCATTATCCAAAGAGCTCCAGTTGAACACAGGGGCCACATAATATACGTTATGTATGGCCATAATTTTACACTTTGATAAGCACGTCGAGAGCCGCCGTCGTTATCAAAATCTAATACACTATCGTCGACGAGGGGAGCCTCGTAAGCGGTATGTCGCTGAGATTGTCTTGACTGCAGCCGCCGAATGCACCAAGGACGCTCTATTGCGGGAGAACTCCCCCCAAATATGACCAGTTGATGCGAACGGGGATTTAGTTGGAGACAAAAGACTTGAATTTTTAGGATTGAAGAATTTGGAAATGACATTCCTGTCTCCGCTTACTTCTTTCCGAAGCTACGTATTAACCACTGTTTCATCAAGTATGACTATGGACGGAGATACATGCAATTTTATTTGCCTTCTCACGTAGTTCAGCCACCCATTGTATCTCTCCAACATCATCGTCTACCCCCTCGACATAGTCGGCCCTGTTGCCCTACGCGTCTGTTCATACGCGCACCGGCAAGGCGATCATTTCATGTGGCAATAGCCCCATTCCTCCGTCCCAGGGCAATATTAATCCGAAGCAAAAGCAATAGTAGTTTCCAACAGGATTGATGCCGTGCAATCTTTGCACATGATTTCAAGATGAGCCGTAAGGGAACGTTGTGTCTCATCTCTTTCCATGCCGTAAGGAGTGTCTACTCGGTATTCGTATCTCTTCCAGTCGTAAGGATCGTACGCTCGCGCCCGCGGTCTGGTTCCAGGGGTTGAGCACGATATTAAAATAAACCATTCGTAAGGTGCCAGAAATAAGGATCAGCGTCGGTCGTCGACATTGGCCACCTTTCTGAACATGCATATGCAGCATGGGGTGGGATCGAGGACGGAAAACGTTGCTAGAGAATCGAAGATATGCTTTTTTCTCCTTCGCCAACCCTGAATCAACTTCCTCTCTTGATTCATGACCGCCGAAGGGTAGTTTTCATCTATGCCAGGGCAACAAGGCCAATAACACCGGCAAGAAGCGCCATGACGGGCTTGTTGTTGCTGCTGGCGGCGCCAGTGTAGGTCGCGACGGGGGCGGGTGTTGTGGTGGTCGGGACCGGCGCAACGCTTGTCCAGACGCTGCTGCTGACCACAGGAGCTGGGGATGAAGACCAGACACTGCTCGTAACTGCAACGGAGGCCCAAGTGCTTGCATGAGGGACAGAGTAGCTGCTATACACAACTGACGACCCCCAGTCGTTCCACTGGCTACTCGAGGGCGCTGGAGCCGGGGCCGCGGGGACGCTGGATGACCAATCGACCCATGTGCTTGCCGCGGGAACGGGTGCCGCGGGTGTAGAAGTTGTCCAATCTTGCCACTTGGTCGTTGGAACTGGAACAGGTGCAATGGAAGAGGTCCAGGTCTTTACAGGAGCTGGGGATGAGGACCAATCTTGCCAGGAGGAGGTCGGCACAGAAACCACAACGGAAGACGTCCAATCTTGCCAGTGAGATGAAGTCACTACCGGCGCCGGAGGAGTAGAAGGGGTCCAATCGGCCCAGGACGTTGTCTTAACAGGAGCTGGGGATGACGAGGACCATTCTTCCCATCCTCTAGTGCTTGAACTTGTGTAAGGCGTAGTCGTGGAAGAAGAGGTTGTCCATTCGATCCATTGAGTTGAAGGCGAACTCGTCGTTAAGGAAGGTGTGCTTGACCAATCGAGCCATTGAGCTGAAGGTGAACTCGTAGTTGTAGGGGAAGCAGTGCTTGACCAATCGAGCCATTGAGCTGAACTCGTAGTTGTAGGGGAAGCAGTGCTTGACCAATCGATCCAGGTCGACGAAAGCACCGGAGTCGTCGTGCTGGTGGTGCTTGTGGTGCTGGTGATGGTTGTCGTCCAATCGGCCCAGGTTGAAGAGAGAATTGAGCTTGTGTAAGGCGTAGTCGTGGTCGAAGAGCTGCTTGTGTAAGGCGTCGTGCTCGTAGGACTTGAACTTGCCCAGTCGCTCCATGTTTCCGTCTCTGTCTCTCCTCTTCCGTATACCTTTTCGGCACTTGCTGAGCTGGCAACTGCCAGCAGAACGAGAGATGATCTCATGTTGAAAGAGTAAATAATTTTCGGGGTAGATGATAATACAGAGAGCGAGTGTACTAGAGTCTTAGCGAACGAACCCTAGTGTACGGAGTACAAGCGAGAGATGAGGCTGTCAAACGACGAGAGTGTAATGATGGGAAGAAGAAACAACTTCTGATGAGAGAGACGGGCGGTTTTGTAGTACTTTACCTGCTGGGGAGGCACCCCTCTCAAGCTTCTTCAGCTGTGGGTTCTGCCATGCGAGCATCATAGGTAAACGTAAAGATGGAGGGAGAAATCAACGAGCTGGGGATGTGGCGAGACGAACGAGCATGCAGCATTGTTCCGTCCCACCAAGCCTGTTCCTCTCGGAATCATGTCATAGTGGAGGATGGATAGGCGAGGAGGGTAGCAATCGACTTTTCCAGCCCCCGTACTCGGCACGTCGAGTCAACCCGAGTGGATCCTTTCAAAGCTATGCTGGCGGGGTCATCCTGAGAATAGCCTCCTTCATGGAACATGGCTAGCCGAAAAGCTGGGAAGTTGTTGGCCCTGGCAGTCTGGAGGTCTGATCGCAGATATTCTGTCTCATTGACCCATTGGCCGGGTATAGAGACGAACGAGGGAGCGTTTCTCTGCCGACTTCTCCAGATGGCTGCAGAATCCTCCGTAATAGCTGCATGCACATTACCTAGGCGCCAAAGAAAGAAACAGGAAGAGCCAGCTATGCTGAAATCGAGTGGTTGGCAAGCGATACAGCTTACTGGTGGCCGGATTTGGATTAGTAGTGTCTTCAGCCTCACGCAACCTCTCCAACATATTTTGCAATCCGACAAGACCGTACTCGGCAGTGTGTACGAATACAGGGTACTCCATAGGCTGTGTAGCCATGGAACAGAATGAAATCGTGGGAGGGGTCGAGGACCAAGGTCAGCTGGCAAGCCACGGACAAGATGCAGGGTTGTGCTTGTTACTTGGTACTTGGTAGGAGGCCTGCCCCGTAAGAATTCATCTCGATTCATTGCAATTCTGCTCGTCATGCGACAAACCAAGTCCTGTTACAGTGACCCATTAGGAGCTCTTGTCGGCTTCGACTCTCGTACTTAGTAGTGTGATTGCATGACGATGGGCATTTCTGGCGAACTTGCCGAGACCAGAAGACGGTCGATGTCAATCGAAGCCAGTGCTGGATCTGGTTACCTTGGTTACTACCAGTAGGTAAGAGGAAGAGGATGAGGTTGGCAGGGAACCAGCAGGAAGTCAACAATTGAAGACGCCAAAGCTGCGGTTTCACTTTAGTTGGCTGAGCGGGCCAGGAACGGCGTGATGGTTGGTGTTTGCTTATTGAGTGACCGGGTCTTCCCTGTTTTCCACGTTGCCTTGACCTCGCTCGGCGAATTTCTCACCCTCTCGAAGCCGAGGAGGACAGCTGCACAAGACTCTTCCTTCCCGTTGACTCCATGTTCCTGCCTCTGTTCCTGCCTCAGTGCCAACTGTATCGTCCTCCTGGATCTCAGAACACCGAGTACTTCCCGTCAGATCACGGGTGGCTACGGGTGGCTACGGGTGGCTACCGTGACAGGGTGATTTTGCGTCATTGTCCCAGACTTGTTACCATGTTCTGGAGCTGTCTTTCGGCACTGACGCCAGTTGCGGTTAGAGCACCAGTCGGACTCTTGGATCGATTGGCGGCTGATTGGACCTTGATTGGCACCCATCGCTAGGTAAATGCTTGGAGGAAATGCTTGGAGACATGCGTTGGAGCTAGCGGATCTTTGCACTCCTCACGCTGGCCGATGATGAGAAAAATATTGGAATGACGGCATTGGCATGCTACTGTACCAGCTCGCTAAGGTCTGTGCTTTATTGGTAGTTGTTCCACAGGAGTTCCCCACAGTTCCGTATGGGCTCGCTTGCTCGCCCACCGATAGAGGCATCACATCATGCGCCCCAAATATTCCAGCAATGCCACATGGGCCGCTGACCTACCATCCCGTTGAACCGCCTGATTGGTGCATGTTAACAATCCAACTTTCTGTTTTCGACCCGGAAGCTTCGACGATATTCGGCAAAAATGTACAAGACTGAGCTTGTGCATAGGTCTCTTGTCCCCCGAGTCACCACCTCTCTCGTATTGAATGAATGTCGCTTGTGTGACAGCATGGCTTCACTCATCGTCGATCCCAGAGTCTGATCCTGACTCCCATCCAATGCCATAATTCTGGGCCATTTGCGTGAAATCGTTGTAATGCGCCTCTCGTTCTTCCAATGGCGCCAGACGAAATGTCGCATCCCTGAGGTCCAAAAGTCGATCCTTCATTCTCGAGTTGCATTCGAGGGCTGCCGATACATCCAACCCGCTCCGCTGCCGGCTAGTCTCGAAGAGTGTGTCTGGAAACGTGTCCAGCAAAGGAAATTGTAGCCTTGTCTGAAATCTGAGCGTACGTCAGCCTTTTCCATCGATTCATCTTTTCCAAGGCAGCTGGTTCGCTTTCAGAAATGAGGCAAGAAAGCAAAGGCGTCGACTCACATCTCGACCACGCTTTCTTCGTTCAGTCTTCGTCGAAGCCGCTCCTCGTGTGTCAGAGTCAACGGCCGGGTATCTGACTCGAGGTGGTCTCGCTCACATTCAACTTGGGCGAAAACGTGATGGAACCTCGCGACCGACGGACTGACCAGACTGGGGCTGTAGTCCAGGTCTAAATGTGATGGCTCTGGCAAATTAGCGCTTTGATCATTTTCATACCCATTGCCTTGCTCCATCGGAGTCCCGTTGGAGGAGCCCTTAGCCCCAAGTTTTGAGCCCGTGACGCTTGCGTGAAGCTCGAAGACGTTTTGAACCCCATTGGTATTCAAAGTATCCTCTAATAGGCCCAGTGATCCTCGTTTCCCTGCCTTGGCATGAAGCCTTGTCGGGAGCGTGACAGATTCAATGCCCGCGCAGAGGAGCGCAGTGCTCATCCAATCAGAGCCACTGTCGAGCTTCACGTATCGAGGAAGGATTGAGGGAGGGGCAGCAAGCCGTATGTATGCTGATGCTTGCTGTCCAATTGTCTGGAGCGTTCTTGCAGCATTGCACGCTCTTCCTGACTGCTTTTCCTGTTGCTGTTGAGCTACTTGTCAACAGCGGAATTTGCGAGGACGTACCCTAGTCACTCTGGAACCGTCTTCAATGCCCCAAACCCAGATGCTCGTCTTTCTATACTCATCTCTCAGGTTGTCCACGTACTTCGCAGCAAAGCCTCCCCATGCATCGTCCGCACCAGTGAAGAATTGAAAACCTTGCACTTGATCGCACTCCTCTACGAACGGTCTGACATCGCGATCAAGCAGATCAATTTCTTTGTCCAGGCTTTCGAACAGGTCTTCACCGGCAGACCAGTTTTCAAAGGGCATGAGTTGCGAGTTCAGCTCGTACTCGCGGAGCTGAACGATGGATCGAGGATGATAGAAGACACGGTTGAAGTCGGACCAATACCTCACGTCCGAGGCGTGGAGTTGTGTAGTTGGAAGACCAAGGTCTAGATTTCTTTGGTATTCGGATGGCTCAATCCGCTGCTCTTGATGTCTGGAGGTGTTGCCGTCCCTGGGGGTATTCAGAATCACATCCAGTCGAGGGAGTCCTCAAACAGCGACATACCAAAGACCGGGAACAGGATGCGAGTCCCCCGGGATGTCGTAAAGGGCATTGAATTTACGAAGAGTGCCAAACCCGCCCTTCAGGTCATATATTATGGTTCGAGGAGTGAATGTCTCGGAGCCATCGGATCCAAGGCCTGGCCGGAAGTGAATGTCTGGGTTAACAAGAGGTTCTTCATCGTCAGAATAGGTGAAGTATGATTCCTTTTAATCTAAGTTAGACGGATCTTTACTACAGTCGCGTAGCGTATACCTGAGCGTTCCAGAAATGGGTCGCTAGGTAGTTGCTCTTGGTTCCAAGCTGAAGAGTAATGATTTCATGCATTTTGGGTGAAGAGGATCATGCTGGAATTGAACAAACCTTCCGCAGTGCACTTCGTAAGAGATTTAGAATGCAAAGGTCGACGACAATTGTATTTAAAACATCATAATCATACGATGGGAGAAGGTGAAAGCTGTAGATTGTCGAGGCTGAAGAATGTGGAGTGATCAACGTGACGCAAGCTTCTTCCGTGACTCGCGCACGTCAAGTTGCATGACTCGGAATTCGGAGTTTTTGGACAACTTGTTCACAAGCCTGCGAGACGAACATGCGAGAACCAGAAACGACAACGGTGTCATAGACGTTATTTTGCCATTTCTCTGTTTAATATCCTTTTCACCCTCAGATTTCTACTCGAGCACCATTCTGGAAATGTGCTCGCCAAACCGAATCTGCAAACTATCCTCTCTTTGAGTCGCCTGACGAGGACCATCCCATTCAACTTCTGAACTTCGCCGATCTAAGCACAATGGCACCCCCCGGCCGACGGAAGCTTTCGACATTTAGCTTCCTAGCACTATCTCTCCTCCTATTCCTTTCTACGACTGCCCATGCTGCTTCTGCAGTCCTGGGTATAGATTTGGGTACAGAGTACCTAAAGGGTGCCATCGCCCGGCCCGGGTCACCCATAGAAATTGTCCTGTCTAAAGATTCAAAGAGAAGAGAGGCTGCAACGCTTGCGTTCAAACCCTCCAGAGCCCAGATAAAAGATGGTGATGCTTTTCCCGAACGCCTCTATGGAGGCGATGCCATAGCGCTCTCCGCAAGATTTCCGAGCGATGTCTATCCCAACCTGAAGAGTTTGCTGGGTATGGAATACTCTGCGGAGGCTGTTAAGGCCTATGCCATCCGATACCCCGGGTTGAACCTTGTACCTGTGGCAAGAGGCAACGAAACGGACAAGGATGCTGGTACGGTGGGGTTAAAGAGCCAGAGTTTCGGGACCAAGAAGGACGAAATATTCATGGTGGAAGAGTTACTAGCCATGCAATTGAAGAACGTCAAGAGCAATGCGGAAGCGATGGTCGCCAAGGGTGTATCTGTCACTGATGTGGTCATCACATACCCTGCGTTCTATACCGCTGAGGAGAAGCGAGCCATTCAACTAGCCGCGGACCTGGCGGGATTGAGAGTTCTAGCTCTTGTCAGCGATGGACTTGCTATCGGGCTTAACTATGCAACCCATCGGACGTTCGACAGTGTGACGGATGGCGGAAAGCCTGAGCACCATCTTGTCTATGATATAGGTGCTGGATCAACGACTGCAACGGTGCTCAAGTTTCAAGGCAGGACGATCAAGGGGCCAGGCAAGCGAAATTCCACCGTTCAGGAGGTCATCGCTCTCGGAGTGGGATTCGACGCCTCGCTAGGAGGGGATTCTTTAAATGATGTTATTGTCGAAGATATCATCTCCCGTTTCCTGGAAACTCCAAGCGCTAAGAAATTGGGATTGGGTCGTGAGCAAGTTCGATCTCACGGGAAATCAATGGCGAGGATTTGGAAAGAGGCGGAACGAGTGCGACAACTTCTCAGTGCCAACGCGGCGTCAACCGCGACTCTCGAAGGCCTCTATGATGATGATATCACTTTCAAGTACAGCCTCACCCGAGATAAGTTTGAAGAGCTCGCTGCAGATCATGCTTCTCGTGTAGGGTTTCCCATTGAAGCCGCTCTCCAGTCGGCCGGGCTGCAACTGGACGACCTCGACTCGATCATTCTGCACGGAGGAGCAGTGAGAACCCCATTTGTGCAGAAGCAGCTCGAAAAGGTGGCTAGCGGATCGTCCAAGCTGAAGACCAACGTCAACGCCGACGAGGCTGCCGTCATGGGAGCAGCTTTCAAAGCTGCCTCTTTAAGCCCCAGCTTTAGGGTCAAAGACATTCGTGGCGCAGATATTTCGGGTTTCTCTTTTTTCTTGAAATGGAGTGTCGAGAACAAAGAAAAGGCACAGAAACTGTTCCATCCGTCCTCCCAAGTTGGAGCTGAGAAGCAAGTGCCTATCAGGACGCTGGAAGATGTCACCTTTGGGTTCACTCAAACAGTCAAGGAGCTAGAACTTCCTGTAACGGAGGTTGGAGCATTGAACTTGACGAAATCTGTGGGTGAGCTGAAGGAAAAGCATGGATGTGCGGCGGCGAATATAAGCACCATTTTCACAATGCGGTTGAGTCATGTGGATGGGTTGCCAGAAGTTGTTTCGGGGTCTGTTAGCTGCGAAACTGAGAGCACCAAAGGCGGGACCGTCATTGACAACGTCAAAGGTTTGTTTGGCTTCGGCTCGAATAAGGACGGTGATCAGAAGGTCGTCGAAGACGAAGACGCGACTGGAGGAACCTCAGAATCTCAGATTCTGTCGCCTTCGTCTGATCCAACAAGCTCTGGATCAACCATGTCATCTGCTTCGCCATCACTTTCAGATTCAGAGTCGGCCGCTTCTTCCTCTTCCTCCTCTTCGACTAAAGCCGCAAAAGCAACTAGATCCACGCCCACAATTGTTTCAATACCACTGGCTCTGAGATCGACAGTTGTTGGGCTCAATGCTCCCCCTATTGAAATTCTGCCTCGTCTCCGACAGCGTCTAACTCAATTCGATATCTCAGATCGCAATGCCGCTCTCCGAGCTGAAGCTTTGAACACTCTCGAGGCTTTCACATACCGAACAAGGGACTATCTGGAGGACGAGAGCTTCATCGCTGCCTCGAGTCAGTCTGTTCGGAAAGAACTAGAAAAACAGCTGTCAAGCATCTCCGAATGGCTATACAGTGACGGCCTCGATGCCAAACTCCAGGACCTCAAGGACAAGTTGAAGACTCTCCATGGCCTCGTTGATCCGGTGTTGAAGCGTCAGGATGAAGCTATGAAACGGCCGGATGCTGTGAAGGCCTTGAAAGAGGGACTGGAGAGCATGAATGGGATGATTACGATGGTGGAAGGAAGCATCAAGAAGGCTGCAGAAAATGCAGCTTCGAGTGCAAGTGAATCTGCAGAATCTGCAGCCTCGAGTGCCTCGACAAGCTCGGCTACAATGGATGGAGATGATTTAGACGAGGACCCGTATAGCAGCGCGTCAGCAGGTGAAGCAACGCAGACAGCCGAACCGCCTCCGGTTAAACCATATGAGTACACGAACGAAGATCTGGCAGCTCTTACGACGAAATATGATGAGGTGAAGAAATGGCTCGACGAGAAACTTGCCATGCAAAACACCCTGGGTCCACACGATGATCCTGCCTTCCTGGTCTCTGAATTGCAGAACAAGGGGCAGGAGTTACAGAAACTGGTTTCGGATACTATTATGAAGACAATCAGGATGCCAGAGATACCCAAAAAGGGGAGGACTGGGGGTGGAAAGAAAGCGACAGGGAAGGGAAAGGCCAAAAAGACGAAATCTTCCACCCCAAGCGGCAGCGAGACCGCAGGAAGTAGGACCTCCAAAGTGAACGCTTCATCAAACTCATCGTCGACGCCGACTGCCTCAGCGACGAAGAGCATCAAGGATGAGTTGTAAGTAGGTAAACTCAAGCGACATGTTGTTTTGCATCACTACTTTTGGCCACATCAAGAATATTCATGATCCGACCCTTAGCAGCTCAAGACCATGTTATCGGGAGAGAAGATCGAACCAATGATTAAAGGGCGCGGGACAAGTGCCGCCCCCTATTATCACTGTCAGCCGCACGAGCTGTATTGATCGACAGGGTTCCGATGGAATCCCAAGTCCGATAGTTGACCCGCTCCTACCATGGCCCACGGGGCGAGGGGCCTTCTCGCCAGGACGGCGACCATGGATGTTTTATATGTGTACTTACATATGGACAATTCTTGGTAGTAGGATGGATCGACTAGAACACTTTGGCATTCCAGAAGGCTGAAACGTGAGGGAGATCGGACAGGCGAAAGATGGTGGCGAAAGCCTTCACCGAATGCAGGCGTCGAAACGTGGGAGGGTGAAATTCTTGGGACTGCACATTTGTTCAAAAGCTGAAACGGCCCAGTTTGATTGGATTGGGCCGCCGAGCACGCAGACGAGCCTTGAGCGGGCGAGGGAAGATGAGGGAGGGGGCGATATGTCAGCCCTATCGACTCTTAGCATCTGCGTCTGCGCAGTAGCATCTCACCTTGGTATCTTGGTATCTTGGGTGTGGGCATGGAGGCCACAGTATAGAAAGTGGTGATGAGCGAGGGCGAGAGTGCGAAGAACAACGCGCAAGAGGATCAAGGAGTGGATTTCACCGCTCTTTATCTGTCGTTTCGCTGCAATCTGGTGAAGAAAAAGAAGTGCGTATTTGTCGCAAGTACTTTGGTTGTCAGCACCCCAAATCAGTCTTCCCTGCAGATTCCATTAGGCGTCAGACAATACGAGACAGGCCACCCCGGGAGCCGCTAGAGCCCACTACCGGCCTTAGCATGGGTCCAGAACCCCCAAAGGGGCCCCCTCTTGGCCGCCACTTTTGTGCGTTCATTGTGTTTCTTTCTTCTCTGCCTGCTGCTCGCAATCTGTACAAGTACACAGTCCCTAGGTGGCGTACGGAGACGGAGGCGGAGGTAATGTGATGCTAGATGAGAGACTTGCAATCTCGGGGCGGCAGCAAGGTTCCGGGACCCCAGTGAATCATTTCCCTATGGCCTGGAGGACGGTGAACGGGGGTGTCAATCCTTCGCAGCTCAGCCTGATAAATAGAGGGCGAGAGGGCAGCTAGTGTCGCTTTAGGTACCAAATACCCTGTACCATTACGCATCATTACGGGCTCCGTGCCTGCTGTTTGGGTGTCTCTTCTCTGCCGCCTGCCACCCTCTTCAGCACTGCAACCGCAGCCACAGCCGCACGTCCCTCTCTGCTTCTATCATTGCCTCTTCTTCAGCTGTCTTTTCCATTCTCAAACGGCTTCGTCTTGCCCTTGCCAGAGTTGCACTACACTACCGACTTACCTCCTCGCACTGACTGAAGTTTGAGTTCTAGTCCTCGTCATCGCCCCAAACAGTGCACTTTCCTTTCGCTCAGCCACCGCTCTCACTCGCCTTACCAATCCACCTCGTCTCGATCGCCATCAACAACCCCCAAAAATCACGACTACAACAAAATCCCTCTGCCAGTGCCCTCGCTTCTTCCCCTCGCCTTTCTATTCAATGTCGATGTCATGAGCTCGCGCTTCAAGTCTCTAGGCTTCGGTTCCAAACGAAAGAGCAGTGCCAACATCCAAACCGCCTCAACCACCTCCACCTCTGTCGCTTCACCCAACGGCTCCATCTCGAACGCCACGACTCCTCCCCCTCCTCAAAACTCTTCGCAAACCAGTCTACCGCCCATGAATCCCAATCAGCCTGGTGTCCCTGGACGTCCTCCCAGCTACTCATACAACAGCGTCCAGGGACGGCCTCAGTCGCCGATGCCGCCCGCTCAGAATCAAATGGCCCATCATCCTGCTCCCATCGATACCAGGGCCGGTGCCTATGTCGGCGGTGCTCCTCAGTTGGGTCCCCCGCAGCCTCCAGGGTACGGCGGCGCATATATGAATCAGACGATCGGTCCGCAGCCTGGCATTCAGCACATGACCAATCAATTTCCACCTGGTGCTCGTCCCGCTGAAGTTGAGGGCGCAGGGAGAAGCAAGGCCCAGCTAATTGTCGGCATCGATTTTGTAAGATGTACACCGTTCAGAACGATTTGATATTCTGGTAGCTGACGCTTGTTCTCAGGGCACCACCTTTTCGGGCGTGGCATTCGCGTTTGCGACGAACACCGAAGCAAAAGAGGATATAATAACGGAATGGCCAGGCGCCGGCAATCAAACAAAACAAAAGGTGGGCCCAATCAGACACTTGGAAGAATGTGGATGAAATGCGACTGACTTGAATAGATTCCCACTGTGCTATATTACGATCAATATCAGAAAGTCGTCGGTTGGGGTCCTGACATTGCTGATGCCCTTGCTCCGACCGGCTATCCCAAGCCTGGCGTGCAAAAAGTGGAATGGTTCAAGCTGCAACTCATGCTCTCGGGCAACACGTATATTGATCCCATTAATCTACCCCCTCTTCCACCTGGGAAATCCGAAATCGATGTGGCGGCCGACTATCTCTTCAAACTGCGGCAAGCTATGCGAGTCCAGTTGCAAAAGACACTGGGCGAGGTCTTTAACAGGGAAGAGCGCAATATCCGATACTTTTTGACTGTCCCTGCCATTTGGAACGATGCCGGTAAAGCGGCGACCAGAGCCGCAGCTATTCAAGCTGGATTCATTCGTGATGAGAACGACAACCGACTGACCCTCATTACTGAGCCCGAAGCCGCGGCAATGTTCTGCTCCAAGACCGGTCTCCTCAACCTCAAGATCCACGACGCAGTCCTGATCGTAGACTGCGGTGGTGGAACCGTCGATCTGATCGCGTACGAAGTCGAAGAAGAGACTCCGTTCACTGTCGCCGAGTGCACGGCTGGTAGTGGTGATTCTTGCGGCTCGACTGCTCTCAACCGAAACTTCTCCAACATTCTGCGCGCAAAGATCAGAAAAATGAAGTTGCCCGATGGATCAAAAACTGCCGGTCGAGTATACGCCAAATGTATTATGGACTTTGAAAACAGAATAAAGGCCGATTTCCGCAACAACGGTCAGAAATGGGCCGTCGATGTTGGTATCGAGGCTGAATTCCCTGAAGCTGGTATTGAAGAAGGCTACATGACGTTCACTAACGAGGAAATTCTTCAATGCTTTGAACCCGTCGTCAACAGAATTCTGGAACTCGTTCGCAACCAGATCATTGCTATCCAGGCGCAGAATAGGTCATTACAAAATGTTCTTGTGGTCGGTGGCTTTGGTGCGTCCGAGTATCTCTTCCAGCAGATCAAATTGCACGTCCCGCCACAATTTCAATCCAAAGTTGTCAGACCCATGGATTCCGTAGCTGCGATTGTGAAAGGCGCCGTCACGGCTGGAATTACTGAGCGGGTCATCACTTCTCGCGTCGCGAGACGACATTATCTCATGGCGACCCTCCAGCCGTTCAAAGAAGGTCATCATCCCGAACAATATCGCGTGCCTAGCCTCGATGGCAAGGATCGGTGTAAATACACACGACAAATCTTTGTGCAGAAGGGCGAGAGAGTCAAAATTGGTGAACCCGTCAAAGTCTCGTTCTTCAGGCAGGTGGCACCTGGGGCGACGTTGATGTACGAAGATATCCTTTATGCCTGTGATGAGGATGTTTGGTTAGTTTCCAGTCTCTGGTGTTGATGTTCCCTAGCTAACCATGTCACAGCCCCGAATATACGAAGGATCCCCGTATCAAGGAAGTGGTCACACTCACTTCAGATCTATCCAGAAAGAATCTTGAGAAGGACTTTGAGAGAATGGATACTCCGCAAGGCACATTCTACAGGGTGTACTTTGATATTTACCTGACCTTGGACGGGTCCGAGTTTAATGCCGAATTGGTGTGCCAGGGTGAGGTGATGGGAAGATGTAGCGCGAGGTTCAGATAGGACCGTGGATTGAAGCATGGATATGGCCCAGACACTGGGAAGATAATTCCAACATCAAGAGCAGAACCATGGCGGCTCGGGGAAAAAAAGACAAGAGACAGGAGCGGCTTAATGAGTAGGAGTTTGAAGACGAAGTATGAGGAAACGACAACGGCAACTGAAGAAGGGAGTTGGGAACATCCCTGATCGAGCCTAAGCTGCACTTTTGATGACTGCTGATGTGGACATGATCACAGTGGAAGTACGTCGAGCTTGAAATGAAGGCCTCGTCAGGGTGATGTTGTCCTTGGCACAGTGACGTTGAACGAAAGTGAGGATCAAGAAGGAAAAAGCCAGGAGTTGCATATTGTCCATGAGCGAAAGCAATGGACCTTTTGAAAGCGCGAGATACAATAAAGCAGACGCATCAAATCAGATTTAGTGTCGAAACTAACCAGACATCATCCTGCTAGCTCTTATACGGGAAGAAGTCCGATTGACTGCCGTGCCCTGCGTACTTTGGTTCGGGTTGATGCTGTACTATGAGGCGACCTCGCTCAACACCTCTCGATGGCCAGCTGGGTGGCTGCTGTTCGTCTACCTCAATGTCCCTCCCTAATTTCAGGCGGCTGCGAGACCCACAGTTCCATCAATTGTGTGAGGATAGTAGGCAATGCTGGCCTTGCCTGAGGGTGTCCAGTGCGCCAGCTCAGCCCCATGGCGCTTGGTTCGCGTTGCTTATCTGGAATTCTGGAACTCCTTATTGCCGTGAGCGGACCATATATATATATATATATATAAAGCAAAGAGCTTATCAGGGATCTCTGCGGGCTGGAACACTCACCCAGGTCTGGAATGGAATAGACAGACGATAGGACCGTACATCAATTAATATGGGCCACAGAGAGCCTCAGAAGGATTCGACATTGCGTCGATCAACCCATCAAACTTTCCTCGCGACCCAGTGACTGCACCTGTACCGATTCTGTAATAAGCTGTTTGGATCCTGAATATATCCCGAATCGGCAGGGAGGATCTCGTGAGTAATCACTTCGAAACCCGTGCGTGAAACGAGCTGAACGACTTCTTCGTCAGTAAGTTCAAAGGATCCCGGTTCGGCGATGCCTTTGTCTTCAAGGTCCGGTTTTGGCTGGCTGCTTGGTCCAGACTCTGGCCGCGTATTGTCGCCTAGTTCATCGTCGTCGTCGGTATTTCCACCCGGCCCACGATCATCAAAATGCCACAACAGTGGGCCAATGTTGATCCAAGCGCCTCCTGTCTTTAAGCAATTCCGTACCGTCTGAATATATCGAAGGAGATTAGGTGCTGTATCGACAAAGAACAGGGATACCACCCCGTCGAATGTCTCTTTGGAGTCCGGCGTGGAGTAGGAGAGCACGAAATCTCCGGCCGTCATGTTCATTTCACCGACTGGTAACCCGGCGGAAAGCCGGGAGGAGAAGGCCTCACCTGGATGAACATCTGGGACTGTATAGCATTTGAGCTGATTAGCGCGAGACACCACATTTGTGAATGTATGCGCGAAGGGGTAAACCGAGTACTGGTGGGCGCGTTCGGCGTTGTTGAGAATGAAATTGCTTGCGAGCAGTTGGTGGTAGGAGATCTCGTTGCCTGTTGCATGGAAGCCTCGCAGAGAGAGTTCAAATAGTACGCGGCCCAGTCCGGCACCAGGGAGAAGAAGTGACGGGGACTGATTATGCTGTTGGACAGCAGGGAAAATCGATTCGAGGTCCGAGAGGATCGTTTTGAGGAGTGGTTCGACCTCGAGAGTGAACCCTTCGTGAGACCAGTCTCGATAAAACTGACGAATAGTTGAATGCGCTTTGGAAATGTCGTTCGGTTTGGCTTTCCCTTGCCAGTTCATCCAGGAGTCTACGTGCGGTTTCTCGGGGAGTCCAAATGCACCTGCTCCTAGGCGGAATATTTGGTCTGCTAAGTCGGCGTTATGGTCCAATGCATCGTCAACAGCATTCAGCGTGTCGAGAATGGAAAAAGGAGGAGCTGCAAGCATTCGCCACTGGACTGATGGGAGAGCGTAGAGATTCTGTCGCCTTCGGTGGGTTGTGTTGTAGTGTGCGTTTTTTCGGTACTGACTTCAATCTAGGTCAGCGGCGTTAGTTAAAGCGGTTTCCCATTGGGGAGGTGAAAACAGGTGAAGAGTCATATTAGAGGCATAGACACCGTCTTAGGAGCTGGTCGTCCTTGGGCGAGACTGCCGTCAAGAGAATCATGTCATGCTGAGTCCGAGCACCGCATCGTGGGAAGTGAAGTTGAGGGGCCCTTGTCCACGATCAAGCACGAGACCTTCATTCAAGACGCCACGAGCCAGCAAGGCAATCATCCCGTAAGAAGAAGCCGCCAAACGAAAAGCTGCCATGCCACCTTGGCCGCCGTCCGTGTCAGGTGCCGACATTCGTTGGTCAGGGTAGTTGCGATCAAAGACCATATGAAGACTAGAAGCCTTGGTCGAAGTGCCAAAGACCATTGCATGAAACTCCCTGGTTCACTTACTGAAATGAATCGAGAGCAGCAAAGATGACTCGCCGTTCAAGAGGGTCGGCCAGAGGCCCGGCATCATGGAACAACGGCTTGGGTTGCGATACGGCGGCATCCTCGGTGTGCTGAACTCCAGCCATCCTAAAGAGGCATCGGAAGCGCTAGGCAGAAGAAGGTCGAGCAGGCGATTGCTGATGCTAGAGCACGGAGCTTTTGAGAGGAGTGATGATTTTGGGATATTGCAATAAAATTAACTGTCAACTTCGCAGAGTGAGGTCGGATGCATGCCAAGCCAGATATGAATGGCAGCACCCAACACCGCCATTGCTCTCTACCCCCTTCTCTTCTCTGCCTGCAATAACCAACTTACTACATCCCTCAGAGTCATCCATGAGACTAAACCTACTGAGAAACAGCAGTTGGTTGGAAGCACCGTCTAAGTCCCCCTTCCGACTTGTATAGCGATATATTCAACTCAGCGTTAAACCTCCGTTCCCGGCAATACCCTGCGTTCCTACCACTGCAATTGATTCCACGCAGTCATGGAACCCTCCTTCAGGCCTGTCGACGAATCGTTCCCCATGCCTAGACACCCTCATCTCAACTTCCACGCCCACCTGAGTTTCATGGGAAATTGCACGATGGTCCATTTGACCACCACCAACCTCAGCCAAGCTGAGAGCACTCTGCCGCCTATGGGAAGTTTTGTCTACGCAATGCCTGACGTACGTAAAACTCCCTCAGCAACAGGCTCCGTCTGATGAATTCTAGATGAGAAACGATCGAGATGTGATCAGCACACCTCTGTTGACCTCGGGCTCTAGCATTGACTATGCCACTAGAATGGCCAAGGTCCTTGCTCGGAAGATGAAACAACCAGTGTACGTGGGCTGCAGCATGGATTTCACGGGCACGACAGCCGAAGAGGAAATGGAAGGCTTCGCCGCTGTCGTCGATCAGATTATGGAGAGGTGGACCCCCAAATCGTGAACCGGTCCTGCTCGCCTGGGTCCCTCATCTCCCGTTGGGTCGATATTCTAGAATGCTGTCAAAAGAGGTCCCCGATATCCAAGGATCGGTATCCTGCGACCTTACAATTCATTGGGTCGGGGACCAGACCTGTGCAAACAAATCGGTACTATTCCTTGCCCTTGCTGGAATTCGGCACTTTAGAGCCTCATCGACCCTTTTAGCACCAGTGCAGGAACCTGGAGTATTTGACTACTTAGTAAATGTCTCCCGATGCACCACGAGATCTTCGCTTGGAGACTCGGAACCTCTGCTCTGTGTGAGAAGCACTTGGAGATCGATCGCCGTTCGCTGTTCGCCAATTCTCGGCACGGCTACCGGTTGCGAGGAAACCCCGGTGGCAATTGTCACTGCCTACAGGACGTCACCCTGCTTGAGGTTGCTGATCGAAGCTTGGCTCCCACAGAGGGCAATTCTTCCAAGGTGCTGGCGTCAGATCACACACCTGATGACACCGACGGCCCTTAGACGTCAGTAGAAACTAAATTGGCGGTTCATCAAACAGAGGGCCATACCTTAGCTCTTCCGCGGAGGCTACACCTCAATGATCCTTGCGGCCTCTTTTCAGAGAGTCTAGTTGGAGGTCCCGGAGGTGTTCACCACCGCCTCTTGCCCTCCCAGCGTCGGGGCTTGTCGCAATGGTTGTCTGCACTATCTTAACTTTCGGCAAGTGGCCGAGTTGTCATATTAAGGGGATTAGCCATTTTGCAAGGCCTTCACCTTTCGACTTTGCACATATCGCATGCACGCTGTCGATCATTTCCACCCCCTTGAGCTCAATGGCAACGTATTCAGGGCTATGTACTGAGGCCACAATAGAAGAATGCTCAACCAAAAGCTTCGTGGCCGTCACGCAGCCGCCAGGGGAGTTCCAAATATTAGCTTCTCGGAAACCCCCCAGCATGGGGTTCATCTGGTCTGACGCATTATTGAACTCACTTTAATTGAGTCATACACACTTTGGTCAGACCGACAAGGGGGCAGACAATCAACACCTTGCTGCAGCTTGTCGATCCTCGGCTCAATTCTCTCAAATCTTCAGCACGAGCACCGAGTATATCCTAGGTATATGACAGATGCCACCCAGGACCTCCTTTGTACACAAATCCAATAAACACCCAGTCACGACCCAATAATAACCCCACAGACAATTATCCTGACCAGGAATGAAGCAGCATGGGGAATAGATCGGGTGAGGTGGTAAAATTAAGAACTTTTCCCTAAACCTTCCATCATTTGAGCCAGCAGATTGGATCTGCCAAATCCGGTTGCTCCCAAGCAACACTTCAACTGCGTCATTCCATTTATGAAACTAGTTGAAAATCTAGTGAAGACCAAGGAAGCGTGGATTGTCACTCGTTGTTCGTTCGACTTTTGGTGATGGTGTTACTCCCTGCTCGCGATATCGCTTCGACTCGCCAGACGAGATGTTTCACGGAGAGAACGGAAAGAGTGGTTGGGTTCGAAACACCTACCCTTGGATTGTGAGCTTGTCTGATCCTCACTGCATGAGTGCGGGACTGAGATGCCAGGGGAAATCCCACCTTGCTGCAATGCGAGCTGCGAGCTGCAAAGTCGATCCTGTTTGAGGGTCGTGTAGATCCGAAGGCTAAGTTCCGTTCCAACGGCTTGCCAGTGGTACTTCCAACCGACTGGATGGCGTTCCCGAGGGGGGGGGGGGGGGGGGGGAATCCTTACCTCCCAGACACCCTGGTTTGCTAGCTCCCTGGCGTTTAATCTAAGTTCCAGGTCTCCTCAGGGCTGCACGCTAAGGCCACAAACCAGTCTTCTGGAACTATGTCTTGGCCGTTTCCATTATTTTCTGGGAGTCTCTTGCGCCACCAAGCCGAGAGATGAGCGACAGTTGCTCGCACGATCCTGCACAGAAGAGGGAAATGGTTGGGCTTGGGATGCGTATGCCCATCATTTGGGGAAAGGACAATGCTGCACATCACTGCTCACGCGGCAAAATGTTGTCGATGATTTCCCCTACGGACTCTGCAATTCCGTTAAGTCCCCGGCCTAATTCTGCACCTCAATGGAAACAGACAGAGATGACGGGATTGACCGCCGCAGACACTGGGGATCCAGGATCAATTATCCATTCCCAGGTTGTGCGAAGCCACAACTCTATCAAGGACTCCGTGTCTGGTGGAACCTCAGATCCTGCTTTCCGTAGGAGATCCGTTACTACTCCTCCCACTTTTACTTAGTATCATACCTTGCAAGTTGACTGGCCACCTTTGTCCTACCCCGTTCTTCGAGAAGAGACGAAGTTGCTATGAGGTTCGCTACAGAGGTATCCTTGCCCCACCTTGAATCTTCCATCTACAGCAGTTTTCCTGGAGCTTCGGAACCTGCAGCCTTGGTTTCGACGGATTCGTCACGACGCAGACATTCTGGCTCCAGAGGGAATAGAGGATGGAGCGATGATTTTTCTTGGTACTTTGCCATACTTAGGGGAGAAACCCTACATAGTCAACAGAGATGGGGATGACGAATTCGGGAGGAGGGGCCAATTTTCAGCTTTGGGGCCTAAGGAGCTCCCGGCGAGGGCCCCATGCTTCCAACAGTCATGACCCCATGATCGACGACGCAGTCCCCCCTGGCTGATGGCTGGCTAGGGCGATGATTTGGGTTCGACTTTCTCCGACTCACCCCATGCATCATCCTCACGCTTAGATTATTCCTCTATTTGATGCCAGTCGGAAGAAACGGAGTGGAATGTACCTGATTCGATCACACTAAAGAATGCAAAATTGGAAAGGCTTGCGGCTGGACAGCGAGGGAGAAGTTAGGTGCGGCCTCAGCCAGGAATCAAGCGGTCTTGGTATGGACCATTGGTATGTTCCACCCTCTTTTTCTCCATTACCCTTCGCGCCGAAACCACAGCATGCAGATTGAGCTATTCCAAGGAGAGGGCTTTCCAGATGTCGGTAGTCCTTCTCCCCCTTCGTGGAAATACCACCCATGTCAGCCAGCCTCTGCGGACATTGCGGACGGCAATACCCCCACTGCCTAAGCAAGGGACAGCGTCTCAAAAAAATTTTCATGGCGACCACAAAACGACCGAAATGGTGTGGTCGGATGTTTCAGGCACGGCGAAGGCCTTCTAGAACCAGTATTTCGCCGCAGATGAAGTTCAATAGATGGACAGGGATCAAGCTCTTTGCCTCAGAGCAGCTCGAGCCGAGTCCGGATGAGGTACGTTGATAGCATATTTGTTTCTGATCTGCCCTGCCTAGGGCCGCTTAGAGCTACCCACCGACAACAGCCAAGGCCTATGATCGTCCTCGGTCCGCCTCCACCAAAAGAGTCCGCCACAAAGGTAGTCAAGGGAGTCGTCAGGAATCGTGGACATACGAGTGACAGCTGCATGGAGCCATCATGATTGCTGAAGAACCGGCGATCTCGTCCACAGCCCTTCATGCCACGCGTATGACACCATAGTCTTGTGAAGAGGACGCGCCTTCTTCCAAACCACGCGAACCCATCACTTGGGAAGACCTCCAAGAAGACCTCCAAAATATATATACCGCTCAAATTTAGAATGCATGTATCAAAGTATTTACCTACCAATGTATCTACGCGTCAGGCCCCAGAATGTTCTCAGCCAAGACGACTCGAACGGTGGCTCGGGTATGGGTCAAACATTTCATGGGTTCTCTGGCCACCTCCTCGAACAGGGGAACTCTTTTCGAGAATGGCTCCAGTGGTCCTTTGGCGCAAACCAGCTAGGCGGCAAGCCGAATGCCGGTCATGCCCCATTCGGCTGTTGAGAACGTTGCGGCTAGCTTCTTTCACTTCGGCTGCTAGAACCGGGGAGGCTCCTAGGAGGCCCTAGCTTTTTCAGGGTTGCGCATCAATCCGAATCTGCTCCCACTCAGACGTGGTTTTTGGCTTTCCGCTCATGTCCCCCCAGCATCAGTCAGGTCTGTGGTTAGAGGCCTCATCCACCGCCTGGATTGTTTCTCGATGTTCGAGCGGGACCCTTCCTTATTCCTGGCACGCTCCCAACGCCACGCGCACCGGCAGTTCACCTCGTGCGCCGCTCGTGGACCACATCTCTACCCCCTTAACGGGCGTGGAAGTGAGCTAAACCGCAGCGGTT